TAGAATGGGTTATTCGACCTCCATTATACTCTTCCGAGAATAGGCCGAAATATACTTACCACTCTTACCAGACACCCTCTACATATAATATCAAAACCACCAAGAAAACCACATAACATAAAATAATATTTTTTAAATATGTGGGTGAGAGAGATTTTTTTTTCTCACACACGCGTGTGTGTGTGTGAGATACAACATTGCAGAACAATTTTTACTGACAGTTTTTTTTTTTTTTTGATCAGGATATCATTGCAAATGTCTTGGACCGTTGTTGAGTTTATTCACACCAATACTGTGGAGGCTGTGCCTACAGCTTGGATTCAAAATGATGAATGTTTTTGGCCAACAATGACTAGAAACAAAATAATATTGGAAATTAAAAAAAATTTTCAACCAAATAAATCCTGGCCCAGATACAAAATCAGAATTTTCAAAGATGGAACCTATGGTAAAGGACTTTGCGCACTTTTTATGCAATACTAAAATTAATTTAAGTTCAATTAAATTTTGATTGAGTAAGAATTTTTCCTTTAAATTATTTCAAAAAATATGTGTGAAGGAAACTAAATTTCCTCTGGTGTTTCAGAAGAATATTTGATAAGGCACGAAAGGCAGAGGATACTAGTGACCTCAATTCGGATGTGGATATGAAAAGAAAAATTACAAAAAAGTTATTTGATGACTCACTGCACTCTGACACTAGCAGCAATTTGTCTGAGGATCTAAATAGAATGACCGTATTACGAGTACCTCCGAAATTGTCTTAAAAAAAAACAAGTTTAGGAAATAATGGTAAGAAATTAGTAGTTTATGGCCGTTTGCACCGACCATCAACGCTAAAAGTGACATTTTCACATGTAAAAATTTCACTTTAAAGCAGGCCGCAGACCTAAGGTTCAAATGTGGCGCCACAAATGCGTTGTCACAAATGTATCGGACAGCATTTAACGCTTCTGTGTATTTAAATTAACATCCGCACACTTGAGATGCATTTGTTGACAGGACACATTTGAATCCTCTCAGCATTTGCGCTTCGAAGCCGTAGAACTAACTTGTTCGATATTTGTTGCCACGTGTGGCGTTTAAAAATTTCAAAATGAAGGATGATATTGATGAAACTATATCATTTATTCAAGAAATTGAGAAATATCCTCAATTATATGACCACAATTTAGCAGAGTATAGTAACAGAAGGACAGCAGAATTGAACTGGACAAAAATTGGGAAAAAATTTAATGAAACTGGTAAGTAAAAACAACAATTTATTGATTTAATAGGAAAGTTTATAGTTCTACAGTTGGGTATTATAATCCTGGAAAAACTAGATTTAATCAACTTTTTTTTAAACTAAATTTTCTCAAACGCATTTATAATTTTACAATTACAGTTAAAGTACCAAACAAAAATTTATTAAACTGTATAGTTATCTTGCCACGGTACCGAGACATAAGGTTTTAAAAAATAATTAGCCAAATAATCTCTATTCTGGACAGCTTGGTTGCTAGGCCTTCCTTGATTTTGACTTAAATTATGTCTGGGATTTGAATTTTTTTCATTCGATGCATTTTCTGCAGAGAAATTTAAATGCCCTTTCTCCTGTATTTTAATAAAATTATGTAAAACGCAAGCAGCTTTAACAATTTGTATACTTTTGGCCACTGAACACGAAAGAGGGGTCTCAAACACACGAAACTTTGAGACAAGCATGCCAAAAGTGCATTCTACAATTTTCCTACCCCGAGATAATCGATAATTGAATATTCTTCGTGTGTTAGTCAAGTTTCTTTGATTATAAGGCCTAATTATGTTTTCACATAAGGGAAATCCCTCATCTGCTGCGAAATAGTATGGAAATGAACGGTCTAATTCTTCTCCTGGCAATGGCGATGGCTTGGGAATATTTAGAATATTGGTTGAAAGTGATCGTCCAAGGCTTGAATTTCTAAATACTCCAGAATCATTGTTTCTACCATAATCTCCGACATCAATACTTGTGAACAAGCCATTTGCATCTGCACATGCCATGAGATTAATGGAAAAATATTCTTTATAGTTGAAGTATGCAGATCCGGGAGTTTGTCGGTCTCTTAATGCGAATGTGCTTTCCATCTATTGCACCAATGCAGTGTGGTAAATTCCACAACTCCAGAAATTTGTCAGACATTTCTAACCAGTCACTCGTTTTTGGTTTTTTCATATAAAGCGGTTGCAAAACTTGCCATATAACGTCACAGCCTTCGTCAATGATTTGGCCTATTGTTGTTTCACCTCTCATAAAAACGTACGACATGGATCGAAATAATGAGCCAGTGGCCAGGAACCTAGGATAAAAAAAATAAATATTATATATTATAGCTTCTATTATAACATTATTGTAACAGTAATTTTGAGAATTGCACCATTAATACTATGACAGTCTTATAAATCCCTTTTAAAAAGTATATTGAAGCCGGTCAATTCAAATTTCTGTTTTTTGTTTTACCTGAATTATTATGAGCATCATTTTTAAATTTACAGGGGAAAGCTGCAAAACCAAATGGAAAGGAATACGTTCGTCATACATTCGCAGTCTTAGTGCTAAAGGTAAAAGTCGATCTAGTGCCGGTTCAAAAAAACCATATTACCTAGCAAAATACCTGCACTTTCTGAATGCATTCAGAAAGAATTACCCCCAAGAAGGAAATCTACAATCTGAACCATCTACTAAAGAACTCGAAAATCTGGATGAAGAATCGCACGAAGAAACCGGGACTCATGAAGCTGCTTCCACAGACAGTGAATCCAGAGATAGACAAATCTCAGTGGATTTTGATGATTTGGGCGAAAGTCAATACTCTTTTCCAGATACTCCCCGTGCAGGTCACTCTACGACTGATAATACGAATCAACAAGCAGATATAAGCAGTCTTGGCAATCCAGAAAGCCTAACTCTTGGTAGGAAACTAACCGGCAAACGGGTGAAAACAAGTTCATACAATACCAGAGGACTTAATGCTGCAGATAAATGCGCAATAGATTACTTTACTTTAAAGAAGAAAAAAGCAGAAACAGTGACTACTTCTTCACAACAAGAAAAACCAAATTCTTGTGAGATGTTTCTTCTAAGTCTCCTGCCCCAAATGGAATCAATGACCTTACGGCAACAGTTATCATTTCAAAAAGGCATTTTGGAGCTAATCGAAAACATTAAATATCCATTGCAAACAGATTCTGGCCAAAAGACCTTCCAAAAGTGACTGCAAGATCGTATTACACTTCATTTGATGTAGGATACAAAGAACAGCAAACTCACCCACAAGATTTTACACCTGCACAGCCATCCTATTCACATACCCATTCGCAGCAAACCACTCACCTACAAGATCTTACCGGTGATGCATATCCCATTTATCCAAATACGCATTTGCAGCAAACCACTCACCTACAAAATCTTGCACCTCCACAGGCGTCATCATATTCGCATACAAATTCGCAATGTTAAAGTTAAATATTTTTTATATTTTTATATTTGTCCTTACCTCAATATTATCAATAAACGTTCTTCGGCAGAAATAGACTCCCTGAATTTCGTGTCCTCCTTTTGCAATCTTGGACCAACCAATTCCAATAGTAATTTGAAGGAATTAGGTAACATTCTATAATACGATTGGTATTTTTCTTCATCATTCACTAACTGCTTTGATATCTCAAAATTTCCTCTTGTAGAGCAACCATCATTGTAGGGATGAACCCAGTAGCGACGTTTTTTTCGGTTTCGTCTTAATAGTTGCCACATCATAAAATCATCGTCATCAGACGACGACGACATGGTACAAATGCGTCAACACAACTAAACCTGGTGTGCGTGCTCGTACCGTATTTGTGGGAGTTTATTTAAATGTTGAACGATAAAAGTGTAAAGGCATTTGTGGCGCAACATTTGTACCTTAGGTCTGCGGCCTCCTTAAGCGTTGATTATTCTTAAACGTCCCTTAAAATGGCCGGTGCCAACGGCCAATAAACAAAGGTTCTTTCTATCAAATTTTTTAGACCTACAACAAGACATACAACCTGTGAATGTGGAAGGTGATGACGATGACATCTGTGGTGTTGATAATGACATTTCACAATCAGTGGCATTAACCATCAGTAATGGTAAGTTATGTGAATCATACACCTAGTGCAAAACAACCACATTCAAATGTATTTTTAAAAAAAGTGCTTCTAAATATATCACATAGATTTTGTGTGATACCTAAATGATTGATACCTCTGCACGGCTACCAATTAAATTAATAATTAATTGAATTGAACTTTCAATTATTAAAGGGTCACGCTTACATTTCATTTAGTTTGCAGAAGCTGTGATTATTCTTGACTTGGCAAAGGGGTGAAATTTAAGGTTATTTTTATATTTCTGGACCTCAGAGCCAAATGGTATTAAGTCCACGTTTTTAAGATTTTAGGGTTATGAGTGATTCTTATCTAAAATTTTCCGCTTTTTCTAGTTGAAATAAGTATTAAGTCACATATCTATCCTTTTCTATTATAACCGAATAAAAATAGTATCTTGTCCTTTTCTTACCAGAACCAAACAGTTCTAAGTAATGTTAATACTGATTGGCTCTGTAAAAATAAAACTGTTTAAAGTATTAAGTCCGGTACGCTGGTATTATGTCCAAATGCTAGGTTAGGTTGTGTGACTTAATACTGATTTTATTTGTGCCGGTCTGTTTTTGTTATGGTCGTTTGTTGTTACAACGAGCTCAATCATTCAACTTAAGAAAAAAAGTGTGTCGTTTGTGCATAATTTTTGAAATGGCGTCTGGCCGAAGCCAAAAAATTTTGGATCTGTTAAAAGCCAAGCCACGGAAACATCTCAGAAATCCTTCACAGATTGAACGTGCTACTCGTACAAGTACAGGTAAGTCTTGATTCAGGTAACTATGTAATAGATCGTATTTCAAGTTAAAAAAATTAAATGAAAATCGATATTTTCTGTACAGATAGTTGTAGAAAACATGACACTATTATATTTAGGTAACAATGTCATCGAAATGGTCACTAAGACGGAGTCTTATCCAGATCCAGATGAAGACAAAGACGAGGCAGCTGTAACTACGGAAAATTTGGAAATGATAAGAAAGTCAACAATTGATGAAGTTACAACACCGCCGGCGGAGACTAGCCAGCAAATTATCAAAATGGTGAAAAAGTCATCAATTGACGAAGAGACCAGGCAAATAAATAGTGAGTGTAAGAAAAGTTAATCAAAAACAAAAAAAGAATCAAAATATTTTTATCACATTCAGGATAGACTTTTATTTATTATTTTTGTTTTCAGGTAGCACGCCTGAACTAAATGCAGAAGCAGAGGTAATCATGGAACTCTATCCAGTAGAATCCATAACGGATGTTATGTATCAAAATATAAAAATTCTGGCCACTGGGACTGAACAAGGAGCTTGTCTAACTGATTCCATAGAACTTCTTGAAGACGCTTTAGCAATAACTACTGCAGAAGAGGAGCAGTTGTTGCTGGAAAGCATTGTAGATTCTGAAATCGATGGAAATAAAAATCAGGACATATCAAGCAATGATCATACAAATCCTTTAGAGATACAATCAGCTGAAAAGGAGCTAAGTAACGCTAGTGACTTAGACGACCCCCTTTACGAACCAAACGAAGAAAGTGACACCCTTAGCAACAACGAAACAAATGAAGAAGAGATGGACAACGAAACAAATAATGAAGAAGAGATGGACAACGAAACAAATAATAAAGAAGAGATGGATAATAATCAAAACAATAAAGGTAGAAAGCGAAAAAGAAACCATAAAGCATGGAAAAAAAACATAAGGAAAAAGGAAAGAGCTGCTGGCCATGAGTATTTGTCCAGCAAGAATAAAATTATTCCAAAAAAGGAAATGAAGGAAACCTGTCAGGATGGTTACCGAAAAAAGTGCACACAAAAGATAACAACTGATGAGCGTTTATCTATCCATACTCAGTTTTACAATAAAGACTTAGACATCAACCAAAAGAGGCAGTTTATTGCAAGCTGCATAGAAGAGGTTCCAGTTGAACGTGTTCGCGTTAGAACAGGCTCGCGTATCGGAAAAAGAAAATCTACTCTTAACTACTTTTTTACGGTAAATAATAAGAAGGTTAATGTTTGTCGTACTTACTTCTTAAATACTCTTAATTTATCCCAAACATCTGTTAGATTTGCATTAAAAAAACGACAGTCAGGCGGACTCGTAACGGTCGACCAAAGAGGGAAGCACGAACCATCGAATAAAATTGGAGTCAACGAGAGAAATATGATAAAAGAACATATCAGCAAATTTCCTTGTATCGAATCGCATTACTCAAGGAACAAAACTCAAAAAAAGTACTTAGGAAGTCACCTTAATATTTCCAAAATGTACGAGCTGTTTTTTGAAGAATGTAGAAACCAAATTCCTCGGGAAGAAATACCTAAAAAATGGCTTTATGCTGACATTTTTAACACTGAATTTAATTTGTCTTTCAAGGAACCAAACAATGATACATGTGATGCCTGTGATGAATTTATTATAAAACTAAAAGAAAATTTGCCTAATGAAACGCGTATTGACACTCAGAATGAATATGATGCACACCTGTCAGATGCAGACAATCGATACCAACTGAAGAAGCAAGATAAGGAAGCATCAAAAAATGTAAGAAACTGCAACGTTCTAACTGTTGATTTACAAAAATGCCTACCTACGCCGCTTCTCAAAAATGCTCAAAGCTTTTACAGCTTAAAACTTTGGACCTTTAACTATACTGTGTACAACACGACAAAAAAAACCTCTTCATGTTTTGTTTGGGACGAGTCAATAGCTGGCCGAGGTGGCAATGAAATGGCGTCTTGCCTTTTGAGATACATTCTTACTCTCGATGAGTCTGTCGAGAATATCATTATTTGGAGTGATAACTGCCCATCACAAAACAGAAATCTGCAAATGCTAATGAGTTATTTTTATGTAATGATGGTAAAGCCATCATTGAAGTCGGTAGAACACAAATATCTTTTAAGAGGCCATACCCACATGGAGGTGGACTCCGTACATGCCAGAATAGAAAGACAAATGAAAGCCTCCCCTGATTTTTCTATAATTACCCCATGGGACTGGCAACAGCTTATGCGACTGTGCAACTCAAACTTAATGGTGGAGGAAATGCAAACTGTGGATTTTAAAAATTTCAATTATTTATACGACAATATAAAATCTTCCTTTCAAAACAACAAAAAGACCACAACAGGTGAAAATTTCTTGATTTCAAAAGTAGTTCACATGAAGTTTGTATCTGATAAATCAAGTTTTGTTGCAGAAAATTTTCAGGAGGTTGAATTTAATAAGACAGCAAAAACAAGAGTATCTCGTCGGGTTGAAGCCAGTACATCAAAAACTAATACAAAATTTGACCAGTTTCAACTTCCACCTATCAGAAATGAATTAAAGCCCATCTCTACCAAAAAGTGGAAGGACTTGCAAAAATTATTGAGATGGGTTCCTTCAAGATTTCACGATTTTTTTAAAAACATCCCTCATGAGAACATTAAAGATGAATAAAGGCTCTTATTTTTTGCTTATTCTTTTAATAAATAAAAGTATTATATCTATCGTTAACAATAACAAATGAACTGTATTCGATTTTTTTTGCTGTGTTGACGTTATTTTTGTAAAACCAGTTCCTAATAAAAGAAGAAGAGAAAGTAAAAAAAAACTCTTTGATTTTCCTAAAAATTAAAATTCACAATTCATCTGTCTAGGACCAAACAGAATTAAGTCACAAAATATGGTATTAAGTCGTAATATATTAAGTCCATTTCGAGGGCCAATCAATATTAAGTCCAAATAAAGAAAAAAAAAGACAATTTATTTATATTTCCACAAAATAAACTTATTCCATTTTCAAATTTACATTATATATCATTAGAAAGCAAATATAAAACAATCTAACCAATTTACTATAGTTAAATGAGTAATTAGCGCACGTACTTCCAACTTTAAAATTGCTCTCCTGTAAAATTTTGAAAACGTGACTTAATACTCTATGGCTCCATGGTCCAGATTTGGACTTTTTTTACTGAGCATGTGGTAGCTTTTGAAAAGTGCACTTTTCTTATTTTTTACGGCTTAATTTATATCAACGAAAATGAAAATTTTTATTTCAGAAATATTACCAGAGAAATCTGAATCAACCAAAGAAAAAAACACGGTTACCAAAAAAACTTGCTGCTGCAAAGAAGTCCTTACGAAATTAGGTAAGATACAGTTTTTTTAAATATTTTGGTAGGTGCTCATTTAAGTCAAACTTTTGCTGGTGAATTGTCATTTTCCAATACTTAATTTATTGTTCGTCGATTTTAATCTGATACTCGGACGGAATGTGAGCTGGTGGCTCCCTACATTAGAACGCCAATGGTTACCTGACGTCACACCTGTTTTTGCCATATGAAACACCCCCTCGCTCCTCATACCGCAAGTATCAGTTAAAAATCGACCAACAATACTTCAGTCTGTTTGAAAATAATATGTGTATTCTTGTTTTAAGGACCTTCTAATTCATTATTTCTTTATTTTAGAAACACATAATTCGCAAATGAACACTAAACTTTCTAGTGTGAAAGCTAATTTGCTTCAAATTCGAGAAGACATTCAGACACTTTTGAAAAGGCTCACAGCAACAAATAATGATATTGAAACAGAAAATCTGAATAAAATATTTTCGTTACCATTTGATAATGATAAAGGGCTTCAAGAACTTGAAGAATTCTTGTGTGTGAAAGAAAATTTTGAAACTGCGGTAAAGTATTTATTTACTATTGTCTATTACTAGGGTAGATCCATGTGATTTTCTCATAATACTTTATCTAGGGAATCTTAGTCGTAGTGTCATTCATCAATTGAAAATTACTACAACCTGCATTCAAAAGAATAACTTAAGATACCTACTTTTTGTTAACCCAATTCGGCAATACGAGGTGCCGTGGTAAGAAACAAAAAATATTTAAAAAGATATTGGTTAGAGCTTTTAAACAGGTTAACAAAAAATATCTAATTTTTTTTTTTTTGAATGCGGATTGTAGTGCTTTTCAATTAACCTAAATACATTCTTTGTGAAAAACAATGATTGGGGAAACCAATAATTAACATAGCTAAAAATTACTTGGGATTTCCTATATGTGCTAACCCAATGCATCACCTGGTATATGAAAATGCTTATTAAAATTTGTTTTATAAATTATTTATTCAGTAATAATAATTGATGGTGTTGGTTTCTTGTTTTGTTTGATTTTTTGATTGCTTGTTTGTGTTGGTTTGGTTGAGTCTTATTGGAACTTTAATTTTTGACTGTCCTTGACATTTTTTGATCATTATTTTGAAGAGGCTACTTATGTAAGTATATTGTTACTTGTAGGTAGCTTACATGAAAAAAGTAGGGGTAAAGATGAATACGAATTCATTAAAAGGTGCATGTCAGAAATAATTACTGACAATGTAGCTATGACATATGCCTATGATGGGACGAAAGAGAAGAAAAGCTTCAAAACCTTGAAAATAAATAGTGTTATTCAAAGTAAGTTTTAATAAAGTCTATTTTTTTTAAAGATAAAAGTTGAAATGACAATATCTTGGCAAGACAATGTAAAATTGTCAATGCTTTCAAATTTTTTATATAGAAAAGGCTTGTGTTGCCAACAGAAATACTAATCTTCTGACTTGGGGAATTATGTTTAAAAAAAAAAACAGACTTTAGGTATTAAATTTGTTGTTTGTCAAGCCTTGAAGTGTTGTTCTTGTTAAACTTTTTATGTAATTAGTTGCCAGGCCCTTCCTTCACTCATTTGATTACTAATTCATTTTATTTTAAAATAATTATATTTGTAAGTAATGAAACTTTAGTGTTGAACTTTTGTGTAATCTAAAGAAGAGAAATTATATTGATACATCTAATTTTAGATGCTTTACATTCACATTTCAAAGATGGTGAAAAAAATATATATGAGACATCCATGAGGAAGTATCTCAGAAGGGCGAAAGAACGAGCGAAAGGGAAAAACCCAATACCTAAATAATGACTACGTTTATTTCACACGATTAATCCGGCTTAAATGTGGATTGACTTAAATAAGGATTAAAATTTAGGCTAATTCCCAAGTGTTTATATCGATCCGAAAAATTGGATTACATTTACTATTTAATCCGTATTTAAGCCAGTTATGTGCGCGTGCGCGACCAATGTGCCTAGCTTCAGAGAATAACAAACATTAACTGTCAAAGTATCAGCTGGTTATTGGCGGTAAGTTTGGTTTTCGTTTTTGAGGGTTGGGAAATGACTTAGAGGAAATGAAGAAAGATCAAGGTTAGGTTACTTTGCCGGCTTGGCCCTTGTTTCAATTGGTTTGTTGTCTGTGTACAAACAGTGCTGTGGTGCTTGTATTTGTTATGGAAAATGGAGGAAAATAAGAGAAGGCCGAACTGGAGTGAAGAGGAAACACTTTGTTTCATTAATCTTATTAAGGAGAAAAAAATCCTGAAAATAATGGATGGGAAACGTTTCAGGGCCCAAGAAATATTCAAGTCCCTCGAAAAAGAGATGAAAGACAATGGGTACCAGAGAGACGCCGCCTGATTAAAAGTTAAATTCAAGAACCTAAAAGGTAAGTTTCAAGCTAAGATTTATTGCGGTCTGTATGTGTCATAGAAAAACATTAAATGCTTTTTTTTTTTACTTGGAGAGGAATAAGCCAACAGACAGAAAATATTCTTTGTCCCCTTATAGGTTAGCATTTATATGTTTTTCTTTGCTTTCTGCACTTTACTTAAAAATAAAATAATGCTGATTGTTTTGTTTGCAGCTGATTACTACAAAGTACAGAGACGAAATGAAGTCAGTGGGTCAGATAGAAAAACCTGTCTGTTTTTTGAGGAGTTGAATGAATTGTTCGGGGATCGCCCTGCAGCAGGCATGGAGGGCGTTGATTCAAGTTCGCAGATACTGGACTCTGCTACGTCTACCGATGAAGACAACAACGCGGCCTCGAACGCGGCATTAGAAGATTGTGGAAGTAGAAGAGTTTGTAGTGACAGAGGATGGCTCTCTGGAACCAATAGAGCCTACATTTGCAGAGGCCTTTCAACCAGGTATACCTTCAAGCTCCAAGGCGAAACCTGAAGAGGCACTTGTAGAAACCGCCTGTGGGAGTGGAACTGTTACTCCAAGAAGAAGCAAGAGTATCACTCCATCTAAAACCATAAAAACTATGACAGAGATTAAAGTCTCTCAAGACTATAAGTGACTCACAAGAAAGGGACAACGCTTTCGTAGATAAGCTCCTCAAGGGTCAAGCCGCCCTTCTATCACAACTAACTAAAGAGTTTTTCGAAGGATTAACAAAAGTGATTGGTAAGAGGAAGAGGTCAAGCCAAAGCTCTAGCCAAAGCAGACAAAAAAGGACGAGAATTTGCCCCTCTTCATCATCCTCAGAGACCTCAGATTCGGACAACTGATGTAACAAAAATAATAAATCAAAACTTATGAAATTAATTTAGTATTATTTTCTGGAACACCTGTAATAAAGATGGGATAAAAAATATAAGGAACTCTGAGCCGTAATAACTTTATTCCATGACAAAATACAAAAATTATAAATTCACTTGAAACCAGTTTTCGGCATTTCACAACAAAATAACAGCTGTGTTTCTATTGAAATAATTATATTGCTGAAAGAATAAACAAACTAAACTAATAAATGTAAGCAATTATAAAACTCCTAATTCACAGCTTGTCTTGAAACTCTTAAAGGAAAATTGAAGACACGAGTGGATGAAGGTGTTATGTAACATTTTTTCAAAAATTAATTTTTATAGATGGATGAAGGTGTTATGTACTTAACTTTCATATGACACCCTTAAAATACCTATAACTTCAGTATAAATGAAGGTGTAGAAATGAATGAAGGGGTTATGTACCATATTTTTTTAAAAGAACACGGAAGAAGGTGTTATGGTATGGTAACTCCTTCATTCATAAATCAAAACTTATTCGTGAATATTTTTGAATGGATGAAGGTGGTATGTCGCAAACATAACCCCTTCATCGATATTATTGTCAGTTTATTTTATAAAACGCTCGTTAAACGTTAAACTTCGTACAGTGTTTTTTGATTGTTTTTATATGAAACCGACTACTAAAAGTGTGATAATATGGGCTCCAGGGGCAAACTAATGTTAGCCTTACTGAAAGAAAAAGAAATGACGGAGAGTGTGATTGTTAAAGAGAAAATAAGTGTATTTATTGAAAAATCTAACCTCAAGAAGACTGATTCTGTTACTTTAAATGAATGTGGTAAGTTTTTTTGTATATTTCACTTCATGTTCTATTGGTCCCTTGATCCAGATGTGTACCTAGATTATTTAGAACGCAAAATGTTAAATTTCAGTAGAAATCTGATTTTTGGTATATTCAATTCCAGATTTTCAACCATCAACATCATCAGCCCCGACAACCAAACTCGATTTCTTTGATGGTAATCCTGATGTAACAAAACACTCTTTTGTTACTGAATTTACCCATTATGGGCTAAGCCCAGAAAACCAAAGTGATGGTAAGAAATAGAAAACGCTGTAAAAAATCAGTATGCACTGCGGTTTTTTTCAGAAACGGATTCAGAACCATTTATTGAAAGTGAAGAGGAATATATTCCCAATGATAATGAATACAGCAGCTCTTCAAATCCAAATAGTGATATAGAAGAACTAACAATTAGACCAAAGATTAACAAACCTCCCAAAAATACGCCCCCTCTTAATGAGGATTTAACTGAAACTGACACTGCACCTGATAATAAAGTAATAAATCTTGGCACTCAAGCAAATGGTAGAAAAAGAAAGGGAAAATATTTTCCACCCAAGGAAAAAATTTCAAAGAAAAAGAAATGTGAACCTGACACTTGGAAGAAACGAAAGGCTGCTCTAGCTAGATCAAAGGGTGAATCTTACTTATCTTATAAAAATATACCTGTTCCAGAAAAGCAAATAAAAGAAGAACTTCTGTGTCGAGAAAAGTGTAGGCTTAACTGTAGCACTCGATTTACAAGGGAAGACAGGATGATTTTATTAAAGGAATTTTATAGTCTCGACATTAATTCAAAAAATACTTTACTGTTCAAATCTATCCATAAACACGATGTTAAAAGGGTGAGAAAAGATAGTAGAAAACACAAAAGCGCATCATATACATATTATGTAACATTACATGGAAATATAGAAAAAGTGTGTAAAGAAGCTCTTTGTAGCCTATATCAAATAGGTAGGAAGAAAATTGGCATCATTAAAAGTAGACTAAACAGTGGCGCATCAGCACCTCCTCCAGACCAGAGAGGAAGACACTTAAATAGACCACATAAAATTGATGATGAGGTTAAGCAACATGTTATTGCACATATAAATAAATTTCCCGCTGAGATGTCACACTATTCCAGAAATCGAAATCCAAATAAAAAATACCTTTCTCCATTATTAAACCTAAGTAAAATGTACCAGCTTTATCTGGAGGAATGCGACCAAGAAAAACTTCCTGAAAAATTTAGAGTAAAAAAAAGTTCATATTCAAAACTATTTGTAACAAAGTTTAATTTATCATTTGGGTCCCCGAAAAGTGACACGTGTAGCATATGTGATACCGGTGAGTCAAAAGAAGAACACAAAGAAAACTACATAGCAGCAATAAATGCACTTAAAATGGACAGAGAGAAAGCTAAGACATTGGACAATATTGTTTATATTACAATCGACATGCAGCAAACAATGCCACTCCCAAAAATTACTACTTCAAAGGCGTTCTACTTGAGACAAATGTGGTTTTACAACTTTGGGATTCATGTAGTTACAAAAACTCTAGAAAATGCTTCTTTCTGTACCTGGACGGAAGACATTGCTAACAGAGGAAGTTCTGAGACCTGTAGTTCCTTATTGTATTACATCGAAATAGATGAAACTCTTAGAGACAAAAATCATTTGCTTATCTGGTCTGATTCTTGCGCCGGCCAAAACAAGAATTTTTCTATGGTCTGTCTTTATCAATATTTAATCCTAAAAGGATATTTTCGCTGTATTGATCACAAGTTTCCTGAAGTGGGTCACACGTATCTGGATTCTGATCGGGATTTTGGCAGAATAGAAAAAGTGTTGAGAAAGCATGACACAGTGTATGTACCGGAGACTTATCGGACATCATTGTAAAAGCCAGCAAAAAAAATAAAGTTATTGACATGACACAACATTTTAGAAACATAACAGCCCTGCCTGATAATCTTCGACTTATTAATAGAAAAAAAGATGAACTAAATGAAACAGTAAGATTTAGAGATGGCATTAAATGGATCAGAGTTGAAGAATATGGGTCATATCTGTATAAAGAATCATACGATGAAACAGTACCATTTAAAAAAGTAAATATTCTAAAAAATAAAAAGATTACAGAACCACCACAAAACGTTGAAATCCAGAGAGTTAGGGAAAAATATGGTACTATATCAGATGAAAAAAAAAAGAACCTCAAAGATCAACTAAAATTTATAAAACCAGAATATCGCTACTTTTACGAGCAGATATTGGGATAATAATTATTTTGTTGTAATCCAGTTTCATTTGTTATAAATAATTTACATTATCCTTATTTGATTTGTTTGTTAATTTAGTTTATGTAATAAAAACTGACTTCTTAATAGAAAAATCGAGTTCATTTTATAATTTTCATTAACCCATTCAGGACGGCCACTGGAAGGAGCGGCGCGCTACTGCCAGCCGAGCGCGGGAAAACAGGTCCTGCGGCGATGCATCGCGTGCAGCACGTTGTTAGTCGTGTTTTAGTCGCTTGAGTCGTTGAGATACCGGCACCGACTTCTTGTTTTGTAAAATTGCGTGATAATAATTAGCAAAAACAATGTCAAAACTAACCGATAAAGAATTAGAGACATTGATATATGAAAGTGATAGTGATTATATTCAAGAAGATGAAGATGATGATATTTATTCTAGTGATTCCGAAGAGGAGGCTATAATTATTCCCGGCGAAAAAAATTCCGACAGCAGTGATACTGAAGATGAAGTAGCAAGACCGGGACCCTCAAACCGTCCTTCAAAAACGCCTAATACTAAAAAAATAAAAACTCCAAGTACTATTCCATGGAAATTTGATGATAATTTTTTCCCGAAACAATTCAATTTTGACCTAAACAATTCAGGTATTCAGAATAACGTTGTTATTGAAGAAAGTTCTCCAGAGTTGGAATATTTTGAGCACTTTGTCAATGAAAATTTAGTGGCTACAATAACAGAGGAAACAAACAGGTATGGCAACTTTTTGAAAAATCAGGAAAAGCCTTCTTTCAAAAACTGGTTAGACAGGAGTATTCCGGAAATGTATAACTTTTTGGGACTTTGTATATTGATGGGGTTAGTAGAAAAACCTAAACTAAAAGATTATTGGTCAAGAAATCCTGTTACAGAAACCCCATTTTTCAAAAATGTTTGTACGCGCGACAAATTTTTACACACCTTGTATGCATTACATTTTGTCGATAATGACAATTTAGATAAAGATGATTCACTGAGAAAGATAAGGCCAATTGTAACAGCTACAAACAAGATATTTTGTGAAAGCTTTTATCCTTTTCAAGATCTGGCAATCGATGAAAGCCTAATACTTTGGAAAGGAAGACTTGCTTTCAAACAATATATACCTTCAAAACGGCATAGATTTGGTGTAAAACTATTTGAGAATTGTGATGTAGAAACCGGCTACGTTCTAGGATATATTATTTACACCGGCGGATCAACTAGTATTGATAGAACCGATAACTTGGGTATTTCTGGAGACATCGTTGTGACGCTGATGAAAAATTACCTAAAAAAAGGGCACATACTTTATGTCGATAACTGGTACAGTAGCCCTACACTTTTTGAATACCTTCTTGAAAATAACACAGGGGCATGCGGAACAGTGAAGGCGAATAGAAAAGGTATGCCAATTTTTGGGGTAGTGGAAAAGGGCCACTGTGAGTCAGCACATACTGATAAATTATTGGCTTTGAAATGGTGTGATAAGAGAAATGTTCACATGTTAACATCTGTGTACACAGGAAACCAAAAAGAAACTGGCAAAAATCATTTCAAATCAGGCGAACCCATAATAAAACCTGAGTGTGTTATTGAATATAATAATAAAATGGGCGCGGTTGATAAAATTGATATGCAAGTGAGTTTTGTGGAATGTGCCAGGAAAAGCCTAAAATGGTACAAAAAGGTCTTTTTTCACATAATCGATTTAGCCCTTTACAATGCCTATATTTTATACCAGGTAAAAACAGGCAACAAACCAGCGTTTTCCGATTTTCGCCTACAAGTGGTTACCCAACTAATTGAAAAATATAAAGCTAGATCTACAGCCGCACCAAATTTTCCTCCAACGGTGGACAATCCCTTGCGCCTTTCAGGAAGACACTTTCCAACATTGGTACCACCAACCGCTGCTCAAGGAGCTCGAACTCAACGCAGATGTCATGTTTGCGCCAACACCAAGCTTCAGAAACGCAAACGAAAAGACGTGAAATTTATGTGCAAAGAATGTAATGTGCCACTTTGTGTTGTTCCGTGTTTTCAAGAATACCACACTAAAAAGAAGTACTAAAATGTAGCTCTTGTTCTTTGTTTGTACCTACTTATTACTTTGTTTATTTTTTATCCACCATAATGTGGATTTATGTTTTGGTATTTCAATAAATAATACGCATTTTTTTTTCATTCATATTGTTTTATTTACATTACACATTTATGGAAATTAGATAAGCTTGCTCAAGGTCGCAAACTGTCAAAATAATATACAAGCACTCCTATCTAATAATATAAATGTGTACAAAAGATGGCATAAAAAGAAAAAAGCCTAATCGGTCTATCGTACATGTACGGCGCCAGTCTCAAAATACCAAAACGTACATGTACGGCGTCAGGTCTATAGCATTGCAAACATGAACGTACAGGTACGTCTCGTGACATCAAAATAGTCGAAGCAAGCCGTAAATGTACGGCGTCCGTCTCTCTAAAAGAAATTTTTTGTAGTACATGTACGATGGTCGGTTTGTGACAGATAGCTATAAAACGTAAAAGTACGGCGCCAGGCCATCAACATGGGGAATGCAAAGTCGTACATGTACGGCAGCCGTCCCGAATGGGTTAATGGAAGAAGGTGTTATGTACTATGTTTTTTTCTAAATTCAAGACATAGTTCTAATTTTTTCATTGTTACTTATGTTCACTAAAATTCTTCTACCTAACATTAATGTGTAAACGCATAACTTTAATATTTTTTTTAAACAAAAAAAAATTACATAGGAAAAACTTTAACCTTTAATAACTCAAAATTATAATTTTGTAACATAACACCTTCATCCACTTGTGTCTTCAATTGTTTTGCAAATAATCACATAAATGATTTCTTAAACTATCTCCTGTTAAAGAGTCTTGATGCACACTTCCTCTTTTTTTTGGTTGAGGAAAGATTAATTCAGCTTTTTCAATTTCTTCTGCCCAGTTTAATGAAAATTTATCCTTTTTTGTCTCGATAATGTTGTGAAGGGTGCAACATGCAGCTACAATACTAGGTACGAATGTATAATTCACTTCGCACTTTTTTAATAAACGTCTCCAACGTGATTTGAGCCTTCCGAAGGCTATTTCAACAGCTACCCTTGCTGAGCTGGTATAAACATTATAGGAGTCTTGTTCAGCAGTCAAACCACGAGATGAATAAGGTTTCATTAGCCATGGTAACAGAGGGTAAGCAGGATCACCTAGTATGACATATGGAACCAACTTACCTTGTAATTGAATTGCTGCCTAAAAAAAATATTGTAAATAAGAGCTGATAATTTCGAGTACCGACTTCAAGTTCACTGGATCATATCTAGGAAAAAATTGTTGATCCAGTGAACTTTATGTAGGTACCTACATAATTCAAGTATTTTAAAAACCTTTGGCATTATTCTAGTTATATTTTTATATATATCTGAACCTGCTAACACAGCAGCATCATGTGTTGAACCTGGGTTTTTCACACATATATGTATAAATCGGTATCTATGGTCCACAACACCTTGCAAGATTATAGATGCCCATCCTTTTCGATTTATAAAATCTCTATGACCATCTGTAGGAGGCTGTATGGGAATATGAGTTCCATCAATGGCTCCTATTACATTGGGCAACTTTGATTTATTTTCAAAATAAGAAGCATTTTCTTTGGCTGTAGCTTCAGTGGGCATTTTAATAAATTGCGGTAACAATATTTTATTCACAGCTTTGACAAATTCATGAACTATATTATGTACTGTTGTTTTATGGATCCCAAATGTGTGTCCAACAACCCTGTACTCACTCGAACTAGCCAGATAGTAAAGAGCTACTGCAACCTTTTTTTCTACATTACTTATAGTTCTGCTTTTATTTAATACATTCTTTTTTGGTGTAAGCTCTTGTTTCAACTCATCCACGATAAAGTTAAAGGTGTTTCGCCCTACTCTAAAGTTTTCAAGCCAATCTTCTTCCCCGAACTCATTTTGGACTATACGTTCCCAAAAATCGTAACTACGAATTTTATTTTTTCTGCGTTTCTTGCGTTGAATACGCATTTCATCAATTTTTAATTTGTTGACAAGAAGTTTTAGGTATAAACTAAAATATAAAAGTAATGTAATTGCCTGGTTAATTACGAAATAGAGAAGTCTTACCACTGGTATTTCCTCTCGTATTTTCTGCGCCTCCATAAAAGTATACTTGAATTAGTATTGAAAATCACTTGAGACACGAAAAAAAAATACATACTACTGAGTAAAATAATTGTTTTCCTGTTTATTTTCATTTTGGAATATGATTCTTTGGAAAAATTCAATACAGGAAATAATAATTGAAAATTTATAAACAAACATACCTAACCTCAAAATAATGTTGACAGTCGAAAATAATGAAGTTGGCAACAAACAACGCTACTAATCCGGATTAAGGCGTTTATATCGGAATAGTGGATTAAAAAACTTAGTCCAATCCTACATCTTTGCAGGATTGACTTAAAATTTCAAGCTGGCTTAACATCGGCTTAGGCGGTGTTTATTTCACAATTTTTAATCCGATATTTAAGTCAATCCACAATTAAGCCGGATTAATCGTGTGAAATAAACGTAGTCAATAGGTAAAGAAGTTGCTGCACTTCAAATATTTACTATGTTGGTTTAGAAGAAGATGTTTAGAATATATTTTTTTAATGTTTGAGATAATTTGTGAAAATTATTCTATGAACCTAATATGTGAATATACATATTTGTTTAGTTGAGAATATTATTTTGTGTTTATTCTATCCATATATGGTATCCAATATGATAACCAAGAGTGTGTCATTTGTAGTATCCACTGGATATCTAATGAATATCCGCTGTCCATGTATGTATATCCACTGGATATTTCCTTTGTCCAGACTTGGATATGCAGTGGATATCCAATGGATAGATTTGTGCTATTTGGGTAAATTCAAATGATAGAATTTAAAACTTTATTGGTAATTCGATATTTT